CAACGGGTAGACCGTTTTAGCTCCCACCTCCTTTGTGAGGAAGAGAATGGCCTCTTCTAGAGGACTGGCAAGGAGGAGCATCAAATGGAAGAGTTTTCCAGGCAAGCCAAAAGTAAAGAAGTAGTAGTAACTCTAGAGAGGTTGGGACTAGGAAATGATATGTGTCCCAAGGAGATCAGGTTAAGAAAAAGCTCCTTTGAAATGAGCAAGATCAGTCTCTTGGGAATCTTGTCGGGAAGCTGGGGGTTCCAGGTGTTGGTTCTCTGGCTTGTGCCTTGGGTATCCCCTTCAACCTTGCCCTTCCTGCCAGGTGAGTTTCCTGTTGAAAAGACTGGACCCTCTGCTCTCACCAGCGGGGCCAGCCCTCCTCCCCAGGCTGGAGTTTGGGAGGGCTAACTTAATAATCACTGCAGAGAGGAGGAAGGGAGCGGGGCCAGACCTCAGCTGCTCAGCAGACCAACTGTGTGTTTTGCCATCTTGTACTCCCATTAGAAAGGTAAAGTAAAGGAGGCTGCCCAGCGTTACCAGTACGCCCTGAAGAAATTCCCTCGAGAAGGGTTTGGTGAGGACTTGAAAACCTTCCGGGAACTAAAGGTGTCTCTCCTCCTCAACCTCTCCCGATGTCGCAGGAAAATGAACGTAAGTCCCTCTCCTCCCAGCTGCTTTCTACGGCCCTGGAAGCTGACAGCCCACGTCACTCACTGGCTCTTACCAGGCCCCTAAAATCGTTCTCAGCCCCATTTGGAACTTGGTTGTCCTTCACAGAGCACTGACATTTGCAATTTGAAAGAAATCAAGTCTAAGCACAATCCGTATATTAAACTGTGAAAAAGTTAATGCTGTGGGCACTTTTGGTGCTTTCTGAATTTTTAGTTCACACTGAAAGTGATTAGAATACCATCATCGTCGTCTCCTACCCCCAAGTCAGTTTTCTGGTCTTTGGGAAAATGTGAGAGCAGGTGGTGGCTAGAATTCTAGCTGCAAGTAGATATTAATTGTAGTCATTCCCTTCCTTTCTAGTAGACCCCTAGTCACTTAAGGAAGGGCTGGAGAGAGGACTCAGGACCATGGACTTCAAGGTTTATTTCAAAGGCTAATCTTGAACTTTTCGCTCCTTTCCTCATCTTTTTACTCCAGCATGCCGTGTCCCTTCTTGTCACAGAGGGAATCTTAGAACTCTTCCTGGCCCTCTGTTACCCCCCAAGTAGTCCTTGGTCCTTCTTGCCTGCCGTGCAGGAACAGTCTGGTGCCCTCAGCCACTGCTCACGTGACACGCAGATGCTCCCAGGCCAAGAATCCTTTCTCAGAGACTGGGAATAGCTGAGATCGTGTCAGGAACCTCTGATAACCCCCTGCCTGAAGTCTCACAGTTCCTCAGGGGCTAAAAACAATCCACCCCAAAAAAGAATGCCGATGAGTAGAGAGCTCAGCTGTGCGGAAGTGAGAATTCAGCTGCAGGGGCAAGAGGTCCAATGTCAAGTCCAGAGAGGTTGTGTGTGCGACCTTCGCATCCTCCATCTAAACCCTGGCAATGAGAAGAGCCTGGGTGTCCCAGAGAACACAGTTATGGCCCGAAGAGGCAGCGCTGCCCCACGGTGCTGAGGAGAGTGCGGCCAGGGTGGTGGTTCCTGTGGGAAGGGGATGCCCCAGGGGAAGGCAGTGAGGCTCTTCTGTGGAACAGAACCAGACCAGCGGTACCCAGGGTCCCCCGGGGCACCAGCCAGTGAGAATGAGACAACACTCCGGAGCCAGTGCCAGTCCATTGCCTTCTCTTTTGCTTAAACAAATAATCTACTTCTCAAAAACATTCTCATCTTGCCAGAAATGATGATTGTCCAAAAGAAAAAGAAAAACATTAAAAGATAAGATCGGAAACAGAGTAGTGATAGATGATGACTCCCGGAAGATGGAATGCTCCATGCTCCCTTTCTAGCTCCACACTTGCTCAGAACAGTTAGCAGGCAGCTCCCGTGACCAGCACTGTACGAAGCAGCTGAGGTCGGCCTTCTTCAGTCCGAGATGGCTCGTTACTTTCCCTCGTTGATTTCCACCTGTGCCCCAGGCCTTTGTTCTGCCTCTGGAATCACACGCGTCACCAGAGGTTACTGTGCTGTCCTGAGGCTTTGACATTGAATGAAAGAAGAGAAAGAACTCTCCTTTTAGCTCAGTATGGAGGGGTATCTTTAAAACGATGGCTTTGTTCCCCAGGCCCCTGTTCCCAGGGTTCTCAGATGAGGACAGATGAGACCACGCTCCTCCAGGGAGCCTCAGTGAGCAGGAGATGAGGTGATTGCATGAACGCCAGTCACAGCCAGGGCCCTCTCTTACTGTATTTTTGTTGTTGTTTTAAATGCTTCCTAAGTAAGGAACCAGTTAAGAGAAGGAAAAAGCCATTTACTAAGCATCTGCTATGTGCCAGAAATGGTGTTTGGGGCTTTCAAACGCGTCATCACGCTCATCCCACCTGCAAAGTAGGTATGGATGAGAAAACACACCAGCCCCTGTGAGGGGCTATGTGGCCGACCAGAGGACTGAACCCAAGTCCGTCCGGTGCCCCGACCCCATCTAGTCTCCATGGTCAGTGCAGCTCTCCTTTCCACAGACCTCATCCTGCTGGACCTCACTCACCCCTTAGGAAGCAGAGGAATAGTGGGTGCGACAGGAAGCTGGGGGGTAGGTTGAGGCCCCGTGAGAGGCACATGGCTGTGTTTGCCTTCCTACGCGCATGTGTATCAAGGGGTCAGGTTTCCAACTTCAGGAGCTGCATTGGGTTCACATTTGGCTTCTGGGCTGGAAGGAGCTTCCTTAGAAAAGCAGAAGGAAGGCACATTAAAAGTATTTTAATGATTCTGGGCAGATAAATTCCCAGGAGCTGTTGCAGGGCCACACAGGGCAAAGGCAGAAGGAACTTCCAGTCTGGGCCACATGGCTAGAGCCATGCCAGGCATGTCGAGAATCCCAGGTGTTCCATCCGTAAATGTCAAAGAAATGTACATATATTCTGTTTTATTCCCAAATTGTCTATTTTTCATATCTCTTCAATGACTCATTTGCACACCTATTGTAATGACAGGATTTTGGAATGGCGGAGGAATTTGCTACTAAGGCCCTGGAGCTGAAACCGAAATCTTATGAAGCTTACTATGCAAGAGCAAGGGCAAAACGCAGCAGCAGGTGAGGAGAGAGAGAGAGGGTGACGAGCAAGAGGTCTCTTTTCCGAAAATCTGGCCAAGGCAATGTAGGCCATCCTGGGGCATATGTACCCAAATGTGTCTATCCCTGAGGACTTCGAGGGACACGCTTTGGGGATGGCTCCCATAGCACAGAAGTCCACTTGAGACTGGCAAATCTTGAGGGCTATGGAGATCTAGAACATTTTACTTCGGGAGGAAAATGCCTTCGCATTGCTGGAGAATGGCACTTCTTCCAAGAAGCCTCTGCCATCTCTCAATCACATTTTAACCCCTAGAACAGACAGCGTAAAGAGACACTGGTGACTTAAGAAGAGGTCACTTAAGCAAAACATCCTCCTCGCCCTTTTAGAAGGAAAAGTAGGATGGGTCACTTACACCGCAGGCTCCTCTTTTCCTGTAGGCGTTTGAGGGGTCCCTGGATTATTTAGCTTCTGGAGCTCTCCTCAAGTCTGGTGGCATCGGACCTCCTCCTCACCTAAGTCACCACACCGCCACACCACACCCTCATGGAGACAGGAGGTCCTTGCTGCCAGGATTGAGGGGGCCCAAAAGAAACTCAGAAACTCCATCCCTCGTGTCCATCTGCTGTGGCTTGGCCAAATTGGGCAGGAAAGGCTCCAGAAAGACCTAGAACCTGCCATCAATCACTGATCTTTGGATAACTTGTCACTGTCCTTGATGCCTTCTGCCCGGTGCCCCATCCTTCTCCCAAACTCTTCCCCGGGAACGACCTGCTTCACATTCACTGTTGAGGCCAGGGGGAGATATGGTCCTGAAAAACCAAGCCCAGGTTAAGTCTAGTGATGACAGTGGCGATAACATTAGTCTTAACTAGCTGGGGGAACAAAGTCCTTACAGAAGCTTGACTGTCAAATTCTCTTTTTCCCCAGAGAATTCCTTCCCCACAAGGCCAGTTGCCCCTTTCCTGGGCGATTATTAATAGAGAGGATCGGACTATCTCTGAGAGTTCGTGTCCTCATCTGTAAATTAGAATCTGAGTGGCCTAGTCAGTGAGCCTAATCCCTGCCCAGCTCTGGCGTAGCTGAACGGAGGAGCGACAGTGCTGTGGGGCGAGAGTGGGGAACAAAGGGCAGAAGACGGGCTTCTTGGCTAGGACGGAAAAGGCCTGAAATTTGGAGCCAAAATATTAAGAATATAAAGAAAAAATTATGATGGATCAGCAAGATTTTTAAATATTGTAGTTACTGTTTTGTTCCTAAGCTAATTGACAGTGACCCTGTAAATGACAACCCCACCCAACCCTCCTACTGCCACCTGGTGTGCATTTGGGCACTAAGAGAATCTTCCTGAAGGGCCTGGCTGGACTGACAAAGTGGGGCCACTTCTCTGCTAATCCCAGAGAGGCCAGAAGGAAGATGGAGGCTAAACAGGCTAAGGAAGCATTCTGGACTCTTCCAGAATGACAGCCTACCTGTTTTCTCCCTTACAAACCCAACGAAACCAACCCTGCCCCCCGCCCCCAGATGCTACCCCCCAGTTCTCTGCAATAGCGACCGCGTTCTCAGCTCTTGGTGATTCCTGTTGATTCAGAATCACTCCAGTTCCTGTGTTTACATTTTGTCAAGCAGACAGTTTGCAGCAGCCTTAGAGGATCTGAACGAGGCCATCAAGCTCTGCCCAAACAACCGTGAGATCCAGAGACTCCTGCTGCGAGTGGAGGAGGAGTGCCGCCAGGTGCAGCCGCCGCCTCAGCAGCCGCCTCAGCCTCCGCTCCCGGAAGAAACGGAACCCGAACCACAGCACGAAGATATATACTCTGTACAGGATATATTCGAGGAGGAGTACCTGGAACAGGATGTCGAAAACGTCTCCATCGGCCTCCAGACCGAGGCTCGGCCCAGTCAGGGGCTCCCGATAATCCAGAGCCCGCCCGCCTCTCCAGCCCATCGGGACTCCGCCTACATCTCCAGCTCACCACTTGGCTCGCATCAGGTTTTTGACTTCCGTTCCAGTAGTTCCGTAGGTTCTCCCACCAGACAGGGCTATCAGTCCACCTCACCCGCTCTTTCTCCAACTCACCAGAACTCTCATTACAGGCCTAGTCCGCCACACACTTCCCCAGCCCACCAGAGCGGGTCTTACCGCTTTAGCCCCCCGCCCGTGGGAGGACAGGGCAAGGAATACCCAAGCCCTCCCCCTTCCCCTCTCCGAAGAGGCCCTCAGTATCGGGCCAGCCCTCCCGCCGAAAGCATGAGTGTCTATAGATCCCAGTCTGGCTCACCCGTGCGCTATCAGCAAGAAACAAATGTGAGTCAGCTTCCTGGCAGGCCAAAATCTCCATTATCCAAAATGGCCCAGCGGCCCTACCAGATGCCTCAGCTTCCTGTGGCAGTTCCCCAGCAAGGGCTCAGGCTACAGCCTGCCAAGGCCCAGATTGTGAGAAGCAACCAGCCCAGCTCAGCAGTGCATTCAAGCACCGTCATCTCTACAGGGGCCTATGGCCAAGTAGCCCACTCGATGGCTAGTAAATACCAGTCTTCACAAGGAGACGTGGGAGTAAGTCAGAGCCGGTTGGTTTATCAAGGGTCAATTGGGGGGATCGTAGGGGACGGGAGACCTGTGCAGCATGTCCAGGCTAGCCTGAGTGCAGGCGCCATCTGTCAGCATGGAGGGTTGACCAAAGAAGACCTTCCACAGCGGCCTGCCTCAGCATATCGAGGTGGTATGAGGTACAGCCAGACGCCACAGATCGGACGTAGCCAGTCCGCGTCCTACTACCCGGTCTGTCACTCGAAACTAGACCTGGAGCGTTCCTCCAGCCAGCTAGGTTCCCCTGATGTGTCGCACCTAATCAGAAGACCTATTAGTGTCAACCCAAACGAAATCAAACCCCATCCACCAACCCCCAGGCCGCTGCTACACTCCCAGAGCGTAGGCCTCCGCTTCTCTCCATCCAGCAATAGTATCTCATCAGCCTCCAGCCTCACTCCTACCTTCCGGCCATCTTCCTCGATTCAACAAATGGAGATCCCACTAAAACCGGCATATGAGAGGTCATGTGACGAGCTGTCACCGGTGTCTCCCACTCAGGGAGGTTACCCGAGCGAGCCCACCCGATCCAGGACCACACCATTCATGGGGATCATAGATAAAACAGCCCGGACTCAACAGTACCCCCACCTTCACCAGCAGAATCGGACCTGGGCCGTGTCATCCGTGGATACCGTTCTCAGTCCCACGTCTCCAGGCAACCTGCCTCAGCCTGAGTCCTTCAGTCCGCCATCATCCATCAGCAACATTGCCTTTTATAACAAAACCAACAATGCACAGAATGGCCATTTGCTGGAGGACGATTATTACAGCCCCCATGGGATGCTGGCTAATGGGTCCCGTGGAGACCTCTTGGAGAGAGTCGGCCAGGCCTCCTCATACCCCGATGTGAAGGTGGCTCGGACCCTCCCTGTGGCTCAGGCATACCAGGACAACCTGTATAGGCAGTTGTCCCGGGACTCTCGACAAGGGCAGACATCCCCTATCAAACCAAAGAGACCATTTGTGGAGTCTAATGTTTAAAAGACATTTGTTGGAGTGAGACCCATATGTTTTCACTGCACATTTTCAGGCTTGGTTTCCATATTTGAGGTAGTTCCCTGGCTTAATTTCTCATGTAGTTTCTGTGTGGTGTTCAGAGGTGGCAGCCCACATGCTGGAGTTCTTTGCATGCAGCCGACCGGGAAGCTGGCCTCCAGCGAGCCAGGACTTCAGTTTCTCCCGTCTGTGCCCCAGCCACATGCTCTCTCCCTCTCTTCCGACGCCAACGAGGAGATTGTTGTGCCGTGTGCTTTAGCCCAGGGAGATCAGACACACTGGTCAGCTTTTTCCAGGAGACAATCGCTTTCACTGATGTTCTTGTTGTGTGAATGTCTTTCTCCTTTTTACAAAAATAAGGTGTTCTTGTTTGTTTTCTTCTAGGAACTTTAGAAAGAGTATGATGCCCCTTTGCCTTTGCATTCTTATCCAGTGTTATCCAAATAGCCAGCCCCAGTGCATTCTTGTGCCATGGTCTCCTCCCCTGGACTGCCAGCTCCCTGCAGTCATCAGGTCTAGAACGTTCGTTTAGGTTATTGCTGGTCTTCCTACGGGGGCAAAAGGATCAAGGAAAAAGAGAAGAAAGAGGTCTATTAAATTGGAAGAAAAAAAATATATATATATATATAATTATTTGAAATGTCACTACCTTAATTTTCCAAGAAGTGTTTTATGAATATTTAGAGAACAACCAGCCCTTTAAATAGTTCACTCAGCCAAGGAAATCGGATGAGAATCATGGATATTCTTAAATAATCCACTGAGAGGTATTCTTTAGGTTTTTAGCCAACAATTAACTATTAAAAATCTACTGATTTTCCATGGGTGGTGGTGGGGGGAAATACATAAATATAGAGAGAGAGGAAGAAAGACTGTTCTGGATTCTCAGTGAAAGGCTAGAGAACATCTTTGTCTTGGAGAAATCTGCTTTATAGGTCCTGAGATAATCACTGAGCATCATATTCCACAAAAGCAAACTCTTGCCGAGGTTTGACTGGTACACTAATCCTGTTAGTTGGGTCTTCACCCAGAGCCAGGTTTGTGTTCTACCGGCCCTCCTTTTTTCAACCCACATGGTGTAGTGAAGAAACTGGTTCTCTGAGAAGCAAATTGAATTCTCTCGGGACCGTAAGACTTTATTCCTGAAGTTTGCACCCAGGGCCATTGTACCCTGCGCCAGACGTCATCTGATTCTCTTTCGAGATCTATAGTTCCATAATCTATTACTCTAGGAATTGTTTCTTCTTTTCTTTTTTTCGAGGTAGGAGTGTTTGGGGAGCGATCTTTGAAAACCAGACACTGCAAAGTGTTTCAGGGAGAAGACAGACCCCTTTCAGCCCTGGGTGGGAGCACGTGAGACAGACAGCAGGTCTTCTGATCTGGTCAGCCTGCACCGTTCCGTGTCTTGTGGTCATTTGCTGACCTGTCCTTTGCATGACTGAGGCCAGCACGAGATGGACAGCAAGAACACTGAAACCAAAGCCTTAGCACAGGCCTGGTACTGACTGCACGTCAGCTCTGAAAACTTAAGAAACTGAGCAAAAGAGAATCCATTCTCTGTTATTAGGAATCATTCTGCTCTTGTTAGTAAAGGGCTATTGGAAGGGCAGTTTCCTGCCCTAAAAATCCAGATGTGACCAGACCTGTTTGTAATAGTAAGTGTCCTCTGAAAGTATCACGAAGACATGGGGAGCATGAAGCTGAGATCAGAAACATTTCTCTACTACTTTAGATTCTGCCAAGTAGACGGACCCCTCTGCCCCCAAGCTTGAAAGAGGCCAGGACTTGTCTGTGCTAGAAGCAGACAGCTGGGCCAGCTCAAGACCCAGACTCTTCGCACTCTCTCTGATGCCTAGGGACTGTGTCCTGCTCAGCTAGCCCAGGGTGGGCACCGGCGTCTTGTCCCTTCCCTTCTCCCTCTCTTTCTCTCCCCGAGAAGATGAAATGTCCCGCTGTAGCACCAGCCCACAGCCAGGAGCCCGGCTCCCGCTTTGTCCGGTCTCAGCCCCACGGGGCCCTTTGCATGTCCTCCCTTCCTGAGCACCTCACTGAGGAGCTGCTGCTACATGCTTGAAGAACGTCTGCATCTGTCAGAAAAGTGCCCCTGCTTACTTGGAACGCCACACGTGTGACCCGGACTCCGCTCTCGGGGAGCGAGCGGGTTCTGCATTTCACCAACTCGCCCCGGATGTCACTTGTCCCCAGGGTCTCTCACGGTTTTCCTGGACAAACCGGAGATGTAGGGTCTATGCCTTATTGGGCAAAACACTTAGAACAGTCAAAGTGCAACTCTTTGTTAGCCATTGTAAGAGGGAATGAATATCACTACTGGGCGCCAGTTGAGTGTGACTAGAAAATGCCAGCTGGACCTTCCTGGGGCAGGAGACTGGTCTTCCTTATAGGCAGCCTGCCCATGCCCTGCTGCGCTACTTCATGCCGTGGGCTCGTCTTAGTGCCGCGTCTCCGAGATGCCCTCTCCCCCGGCAACACTTGCTGAGTCGATGTCTGGCTTCCGGTGGGGGCAGTTTGTCAGATGAACCTGGTAAGTTCCACTCACCCAGTTCACATCACCCTGGAATGGAGACAGTGGTAACAAACCTCAGCCTCTTAGGTTTCTCACCAAATTGTATGTTTCGTTCACCCAGAATTCTTGCACTAATGGGTTCCCATCACATCATGTCTATAAATGGGTGCACTTTACTGTTTGAATTTGTAACTCTGATAAATACTGGATATTTAAGTGTGCGTAATGTCTTCATTAGAAAATAGCAAAACCGCTCTTGTCTTTTAGTGTATCTTTCAAGGAAAAAGAAAGAAATCAAGCAGTGGATCACAACATTTATAGCACAAGAAGTAACTGTTGTATATAAGCATCAAAAAGATTAAGAATTTTTAAATACAAAAAATATTTGCAGTGATTTTAAAGTGCTTTTCCAGCAATTTTCTTAGGGACTCCTGAGACATGGTTACTTTATTTACTGGATCAGTAAGGCACACAATTAACAATTAAAAATTAATGTTTATTTACAAAGTAAAGGGAAAACCTGTGTAACATGAGAATTTGGCATGGACAAAATGGAGACCATTTTGTATCTGCTGTTGTATCTCGTCCGGGTTGCAGACGTGCACTATTAAAGCCCCAAGTTAATAGAGCACAAACCCTTCTTGTTCCTCTCCCATGTGCCCCTCTTTCTAGATGTGTTTAACTTAAACTCGAAGGCTCAGGAAAATTCCACTAATTAGAATCATGTACAGTACCCCAGGTCGTTGTCCAGAGATACAAGTTTGCTAATTTAGTTAAGCCTGGATTATTAAACACTTTTCCTAAATTATTGTAAACAGAACAGCCTAGAGAAAGGTATCCTCGGTCCTTATATTGTATAGTAGTTTATGAACCCCTCTCTAAATATTGGTATTTTTATATTCCAGAGATGTACCCAATAGAAAAATTAACCAGTATCTAATTTAATATCCGTAAGTATTTTCCTTAGATTTTAGTCCTATACGGTGGGTTATGTGGACGTCACCTTGCTTCAACCATACTCTACCACTAGGTGTCACTGTGGCTCTGCACCAGGCTTGTCTGGTGGCAAAGAACGGCAGCCCGGCCCCCTGGAGGAGCCGCTCCCAGGTCAGCAGGCAGGCCCAGAGGGTTCAGGAAGGAGGGGACAGAGGCCTGCAGAGGGGTCTTCACGTATCTGCGCCCGCTGTGGCACGATAAGCTCTTTGAACACTACCCGCTTTGGACCTTCAGCCAGGCAGAGGCTGGGAGAACTGAGTAGAACTCCCTTGCTCTGGTAGATGGGTGGGTATGAGGAAGCCTCCTTTGCTCCCCATGAGCATCCCTCTCAGTTCCTCTTGGCTTCCAACTATTATAACTGCAGAGATGTCACCGTTGGCTGGTTTGATTCAAAAATCATTATTTTTCTACTGCAGACATGCCTTGGACAAAACCAGTTGCTCACTGAATCTTTGCCACCAAATGCAACAGGCTCCCCGCCCCCCGGGGGGGTGGGGGGGACAGGATGTTCCGCCCTCCCTGTCCCAGCCTCTCCCACCCTTGTCTGTCTGTCCTTGGGCTGCCCACTTCTCAAGAAGCCAACCTGCAAAGGCAGCCTGCTGCTGCTTCCACACCGAGGCCCGTGCGGCCCCGTCGCGTGCACATTGGGAGGTGTGGCTTTTTCTCCTTTTCCTCTAGGAATTCCAGACTGACCATCTACCAGGACTAACAACAATGAACAAAGGGCTTAGGGGTAAGAGCTACCTACAAAGACGTGTCATGGAAATCTTCACCATGCAATGCCTTGAACTCAGCTCTGGCTGCTCCCCAGAAAAGGTGGCTGGCTGGGGGCCTGGACACAAGCACAATGGGAACGGTAGAGCCACTGTGCGGAGCTACTTGAATAATCCCTGGGTCTTCATCAACTCCATTTATAACACCGACCACTGAAGGGCTGAAGTGTTGGTAACCTGCATTTCGGTGTCCAATGCCTCACAGCTGCTGAACCGCCCTGAGATGCTTGTGGCCACGCGATGGCCACGGTCAGAGCTTTGAAAAGTCAGTACCAAATGAATGCGTAATTGGACACCAAAAATCAAGTGTTACTTTCATGTTTCCTCACCCGTATCATCTCACATGTTCCTGCTGACTCTGGTAATCTCCACGAAGCTGACCTGCCAGGTTTTAGCTGAACGCATGTAGACGCAGGCCAGCATCACTCTCGTTTTTCAGACAGACCTACTCTGTGGAAAGGAAGGAGCCTAGCTGCTTTGTTTTTGTAGCACTTACTGGCTGGATTTTTCTTTTGCCTAATCACTAACCAGAACACCTGGTTAGGGGGACTCCACTCAATCCCTCCGGTCCCTGGGACCAGACAGACCGTTAATTCTGGAAATTCAGTACTTGAATGTACCTGCCTTATTGTGTACCAGCTTACTGGGAAAAAAAAGTTAGAAATGCCGGCTCCAGATCTCTCCTTCATTCACAGGTTATTTTGGAAATCCTGTAAGTTACACTTCCTGTTCCAGTTTGTTTTTGTTTCCTCCTTTGGCTGATTCCTGCTGAGTGGGGCCAGTTCCTCATCAGGCTCAGGGCAGGTGCCATCCTCAGGCATGGTCTCCTTTCCATTTAGCGCAGCATCTCCATCTCTGTTCTGTCTCCTCCAAATCCAAGATGATTTTAATTAGTACAGACATGTACAGTCTACAATTAAAGAGTGATTTGTACTAATATGATTTTGATTCCTCCTCTTTGCTGTCCTTTCAAGACACTTGCTGGAAAAAGCTTTAATGCACTTAGTTTTCCTTTAGGTTTTCTATGACTCAGATGTAAAGGACTTTCTCTGTACAGTATATTATCCGATGCATGTTTGTTCTCTCTCCCGATATATTGAACACCACACAGTTGTGAACTCGTGCAGTGGGGATGTCCCACACCCGACAGAGGCATCTAGTCCCCTGTGTATAAGGAAAGACATTTTCCTTCGCTGTACTTGCTTGAGCAGTTGTATTGTCTGTACATGTGAGCTGTGTGAGATAGATGTGAAAAGTTCAATGAATGCATTTTCCTGCCCATGTGTACAGATCGCCATCCGTACAATGAACTGTATGTATGAAAGCAAATGTACTTATTTATAAAGGGTAACACTTGGAAAAACGCGGTGTGGTGGTGCTTTCTCCTTCCGGTACTGCGCCCCTCCAGGGAGCGGGCTTGAGCGCGCCCTCCCCCAGGCCCCTGTCGTGCTGAGGGGGGGACCTCACTGAGGCCTCCCCCAGGAACCGCTTCACAGGCTAAGGTGGAGGCCAAATTCCTGGTGATTTGTCTGGTCTCTCGTGGGACATGCAGGGTCACCCCTTGGGGCTTGTGTTCATTCAGTGAGGTGACCGAGCACCCCCTCGGAGTCGGGGCAGTACGGAGCTGTGGCGAAGGCTTGCAGGACCCTCTGAGGGAGGCAGGCGGTTTCCTCAGCGGGTTGCTCTCCCGCCAAACCAAGGGAGCATGAGCCCTTCTTGTTCCATTTTGGTGGCTGGGGCTGCGGGCCTGAGGGGAGGGGACAGCCCTAGCTAGCGTTCCCGAAGTGAGCTTGGTCCGAGCTGGAAGCCCACGGCTTCCAGTGACTTCTTTTCTCTTCAGAAATCTGGCCCGAATCTCCCATGCTTGCCATCCAGAGAGCTGGGCAGCTGTGTCCTGTAAGTGGAGAAGCTGCAGGTTTCCTGGAACCAGCTAGACACTCAATACCTTGTTTTTATTTTTTATTTTAAGATTTTTTTTTATTTATTCATTTGAGACACCGCGATAGAGAACATGAGCAGGGGGAGAAGCAGAGGGAGGGGGAGCAGGCCCCCCGCTGAGCAGGGAACCTGATGCGGGGCTCGATCCCAGGACCCCGGGATCATGACCTGAGCCGAAGGCAGACGCTTAACCATCTGAGCCACCCAGGCACCCCTCGATACTTTGTTTTTAAAAAGCGGCCGGCACAGAGTCCTGCAGCCTTTCCTGCCTCGCTGGTCCCTGTCTGTCCACGGCAGGGACAAGCAAGGAAGGAGACTGCTTCCTCTGGACGCCACGCTGTGAACAAACATCCCTGTTCTGTGACTACATCCACTTCCCCCGAACAGCCAAGGCCGGGGATGCAGGAAAACTGCAGGCACGCAGTCATCCCGGCCTGGATGCCAGAGTTCCCTTCAAAGAGGAGAGAAGAGGACTCTGGAAGGAACCACCTGCTTGGTCTGAAAACTCTGAGACCTCAAGGGGTCCCAAACCCAGTCAGGTGAGGGACATCCTGAGCAGGTGAAGGAGAGAGGCATCCCCTCCGTGTCTGGGATCATTTCACTATTTCCAAACACGGAGACCCTTGCTGCAGAGGCGAGCACAGAAGTCGGGGTCGAGGGCCTTCTGCCCTCACACTGAGAGCCAGCCGCGATCTTGATGGAGCCATCAGCTCGTGACCTGTTACCAAGCCGCGTGCTTTGCATGCTTTTACGCAAATGGAGGTTCACACAGAAGCCTCGATTCAGGAGAAAGACTGTACAGATGCAGAAAGCCAAGACCTCTCAAGAATACGGAGAAAAAGTTAAATGTCAGGGAGGATTCGTGTTACCGAGGATTAGGTATCAGAGGATTTGCTGTGGGGTCCCTTTAAATAGTGTTTTCAGGGAAGGTGCTTTTCTGGAGCATAGAGAGCGTCCCTGGTCCCTGTCCCTGGTCCCTGTCCCCGTGTGAAAGCCCGCCTGACTTCACCATAAACACACCTCCTGCCTGAGCCTCGGGAATGGCTCTCGAGTGGAATCTCCGCTTGTTCTCAAAAGTTTTGCTCCTCCTCTTAAGGACTAAAGAGACATATTTTTAAAAGGTAAAAAGTTAAGTGACTACTGGGGAGAACTTCTGGCCAAGGCCCTTATTGGCCTCCACCCTCCAGGCCACTCTCTGGGCTGAGAGAAGGCGGTCTCCCCCGCTGGGTGCAAAGCCTGAACGGCCCGCGGGCCCTCGCCCAGCCTGTGGCGCGACAGCAGCCCTCACTTCGCCCCCTGCGCCCCGCCAGGGGTGTGAGCCCAGAACTGACCTGAGTGTCTGACTGCTGGGAGCAGCGGCCCCTTCTGTCGCCACAGCAAGCGAGGCTAACAGGCCCGAGGTCTGCGGTAGACGTTTACTGAACCATCTACTGCACCCGCACTACACTGTACTTCACAGAGGACTGGCCGCAGGCAAAGTAAAATAAACCACCGCGGGCAGCTCTCAGGGGCCTCCAGCATCACCCGACAGCCACTTGGGCAGACAGACCGGTTTACAGATTTGTACCGCAGATCCAAGATTCCGTCCCTCTCTGTGGCGTCCCGGCCAGGGAGATGCACAACTGTACCTCGGGAGTCTGTCCGAGGGGGCGTCTGGCCATACAGCGTGTGCCAGGCGGTGGAAGAGCGGCCGGGGCGCTGGGCCCGGCACACAGCGCCCCGGGCAAGCTGCAGCAGGACGGGGGCGCTGGGGCGGGGGGGGGGGGGGCGCGGGACTGGGCCGCCACCATGCCAGGGCCCAGGGCCCAAGGCTTGTGTTAGAAACCCGAGCAGGAGCAGAGCACGAGAGGGGGCCGGCCCCTTTCTCTAAGGCAGCACTGAGGTGAGGCAGAGGCGACCGTCAAAAGAACAGTGGTCAGGCCGGGAAATCTCCTGCATTTCTCCATTTAAGGAAACGGTGTCTGTCTCAAACTGTGTCATGTTCCTCAAAGCCCAGAACACGAGGAAAACAAGGAGAGAGCATTCACCAAGTCCAAGAAGCACAAGGTCAATGCTCTGATCACATCGCTTCCAGGCCAAAGCCCAAGAGCGAGTCGGGCACACGGAGCACACGGCCCCAGCTGCCCGCACGGCCGGGCCGGGGAGGAGGCTGAGGCCTTCCTCGGGCACAGAAGCCAGCGGCCCTGCCTTCGGCGCTGGAAGGGACCGGGGCACCGGCAGCAGCAGCTTTCCGCTTCAAAACAAAACAAAGCAGAGCAAGGCTGCAGCCCCCCGGGCCTCAGGTCACCGCCAGCCCGGCTGGTGAGGGCGGGGACCCCGGAGGCGACTGGCGGGAGGGCCCAGCACGAGTAGACCGCCCGGCCCCTCTGCTCTCTGTGGCCCTCGGCCGCCAAGTACCGGGAGTCTGGGGCCCGCGGCCCGTCCCTCTCCCCTCTCCCGGCAGGGCCGCCCTGGGGCTGGCCCAAAGCCCCATCTCCGCAGCCTCCCCGGGGCCAGTCCCTCCCCGCTCCTGGGGAACCCTGCTCTCAACACCGACATAGTTGATCCATAATATCACTTGCTCCCTGCCACGGCCGGGCCCCATTCTCACCGCGTGTCGTTCAGACTAGCGAGACTCCTGGTTTGAATTCAGTGTCACACAAAGCAAGTCTGGGCCTTGCCAGGCCTGTCACTAGGCCCCAGTTTCTCCCCCACAGCTTTGTGCTCTTTGCAGCCCCGGGCCTCGGCCCAGCATCCGCTGCCTCAAGAGGACAGAACCACTCTCCGTCTTCTTGAAGGATCTGGGCTTTTGTAACCACGACTGACCACCCAAAACCCGACCCAAAGCTGCCTGATTTGAAGGGGTGACGATGACAACAGGGGCAGGGGTCTGTGCATGACTAACAGGACTCTGAAGCAGCAACAAGGAGGGAAAGCAGAGGAAGCCAAGCCCTACACCCCAGAAATGAGCGCCCCAAGGGGAACGCTGCCCCCACGCTCCCTCGCCACACTGCCCAGCCCTCCCAGGAGCCGCCAGCCTGAAGACAGCCTCGACGGAGCGTGGGAACGACGCCTATCCAAACCCCCCAGAACTGACGCCAGCCACAGCCAGGCCCTCCCCGCGGGACAGGGCAGGCCGTCACTGGGAGCTGGGGCTGTCGCCTTCTGTCAGCGTCTTGAAGTCCATGGAGAGAGCCTGTTCTTCCGCCTGGGGTGGCCGCTTCCAGTCAGAGCGCGTCAAGATGTAGAGCACAGTCCCCCCGAAGCCGACCAGCAGCAAGCCCAGCACGTTGGCCAGGACGCCCTCAGCCTCAAACGTGCTGTACTTGGCCCTGCAGGGTTGGGGCGGGGGGGCGGGTAGGGAGAAGCCACCCACGGGGTCACCGTCAAATGCCATTCGTACCCAGGCCAGAGAGATGGCCAGGTGTTCCAACCCCAGCCCCATCCGTCCCCCTCCCGGAGAGGAACACCACTGCTTCGCTAACCAGCAAAAGCGGGAAGGCAGAGGTCGCTGAGGAGCCGAGGGCGGGGCTCGCTCTGTGCCGCCCATGGTGGCCTGGGACACTCACCCGAGCTTAAACAGCAGCGCCTCCTTCAGGCCCAGCAGGGCTGTGCCCACAGACAGGAGGAAGATGGCGGCGCCGAAGAAGATGTGCTGTGGGCGGTATCGGCTCCGCAGCGAAAACGCAGCTCCGGGGAACAGGAAGACGCTAAAGCCCACGAGCCACTGCGAGGAAAGGCGGGGTGCGGCCGGAGACTGAGCTGGCCCTCCGTCCGACCGGCCCGAGGACACCCAAGCGGGCCGCGTCCGCACGCACTCTGGGACCCCCCCCCATCCACCCGTCTGGCCTCCTCCACCCTAAGAGCTGGGCGGGGGGGGCAGTGAGCACCCAGGGGCAAGGTCCCGCCCCCCGCGCCCCCCACCCCCACCCCCACCCCCCGCTCCGGGCCCAGGCTCAGTTCAGCGGGCTCGTGCGCTTGGAGACCCGGGCCTGTGGCCCAACAGATGTGCCGCGTCAGCTGGCGGGGAGCCTGGCTCCGAGGCAGCCTCGCCTGGGAGGTCCTGGCTTTTGCACCCATTTCGGAGTCTGAAAGCAGCCTCCAGCCTCCTCCACTTTCAGGCGCGTGCCCCGGCAAACAGGCCCTCGTGGGGCACCCGTGTCCCCCGCCTCCCCCCGCGCCGTGGGGCCGAAGCGTCACCTGCACGAAGTAGAGAACGAACACGAGGATGCCGCACCAGCTGTGCAGGCTGTACAGGTCCGCGTAGCCCTTCTTCCTGTGGTAGTCGAACACCGCCACCACGCCTGCGCCACAGAGGGGCTGCGTGAGGACAGGGCTGCCGGGGAGGGGGCCGGGGAGGTGACCCAAGGGAAACCAGACTCGCTGCAACTTGTGGGATCCGGTCCCGGCTCGATGGCTGCCAGCACCCAGTGTCCCAGCCCGTCTCCTTCCCGAGGTCTCGGGGGAGGAGGGGCGGGGAGGGGCCCGGAGCAGAACCGGAGTGGAGACCAGACGCATCCTGCAGCTACTTCCCCAAGGCCCAAGCAGAGGCGGGAAAGGGGGAGCCGTGCCGGGAACTCACCCACCAGGGCGATGACGAACGCAAAGACGTGCAGCAGCCCGTGCAGGACTTTGGTGGTGCGTCTGGCCTCATTCCTGAAGACCCGGTAAACCAGCAGGGCTTATGGGGAGCGAGAGAGGGACTGTGAGGCCGGCCTGCCCCGGCACCAAGGTGACACCCCGTGGCTGGGGCAGGTGATCTGAATGAAGGGCTTGTCAAGGTCCCCCAGCCACAGCCAGCGGGAGAGGAAACAAGGCTCTGTGGGGCCCGGCAGGGGCCCTCGGGTATGTGTGCCCTAGCAACCCCCCCCGCCCCCCCCCCCCCATCGCTCTCTTGTCAAGCGTCCTGTGTATTCTAGGCTGTGTTGCAGGTTCATCGTGCACTCACGCTGAGGTGTCACCAAGCTCGAGTTCACTTAGCTGTGATGATCCTCAAATAGTCCAGTATGGAAGCCTGAGCAGATATTCACTACCTTTAGCAAGCAGGCTCCCTAGACTGGGAACCCCTGGTTCCCAAGGTAACCCCCCGTCATTGGGCTGAGCCAGACACAGCCAGGTGGCACGGGGAATGCCTCTTAGGAGTGGCTGTCACCAGGACCACCTCTAGGAAGAATGGGCCCAACAGATCCACATCCAGATTTCTTGTTAGCAGAGAAGGCGGCCACAGAAGGCAGGGTGGGGGCCAAGCACGGCCTCACTCCTACCTCAGAGAGGGACTTTAGCTCTGCCAAGTCCAACATCCCCCTGGCACATGCGCGTGTGCACACGCACACACACACACACACACTCACCCTCTTTTTCCCAGTATGAAACCGCCCCACAGAAGCCGGCCTCAGCTCACAGCCCAAACCCTGGGCTGCCTGCTCTAAGCAGTACACACACCCTTGGATGCTCCTCGTCGAAAGACCAGGACAAGTAGGAAAGGAGTTGTCACCCCTACACCTCAGGTCCCTGGATTTGGATGCCTGGTGTCCCCAGGCTCCAAGCCAGCTTCCTTCCTGTCTTTTCTGGAATCTTAGACGTGTCTAACGGCAGGAGACCTCGGGAATGAGAGCGTTTCTGCAAACCGCCTCTCTCAGGAGCGGCTCCAGGTGCAAGGGCAGGACTCACCATCTCCCTGCAGGAAGATCAGGCCTATGACCATGCAGAGGGGATGCGCGTTAAACTGCAGGGCGCCCTCCCAGGCGATGCCGCCCCTGTACAGACCGAGCCAAGCCCCCGTCGTGGCCACCACAGTCAGGCCCAGCAGCTGGGAGAAAGCCACGGAGTAAGGCAGTGCTCTGGGGGCGGCTGCCAGGCCGGCCCGACTCTCCATGCTGAGGCAGCTGCTGGAGGAAAGACAGAGAGCTCAGGGCAGCCCGCACCTCCCCAGGACACGGCCCTGGGCTCCCACGGCCAACCCCAACCCCCCACCCTCTCCGCCCACCACCCCCGGCCCCTGTGCCAAAGCCAGTCACCCCAAGTCTCTAGAGCCGTCCGCAGAGGTGCCCCGCTTCCCCAGGAGACAGGCCGGACCCCTGGCTGAGAGATGCAAGGAGGGTGCAAGGGAAGGTCCTCCAAATTCTGGTGGGAGCAGGGGGCCCCCCGCGCCTGGCTTTACATTGTTTCACGAGGCCCTGGGTTTTCTCAGGGGGGCTTCACAGATGAGGTACAGAGAAGTGAGGAAATCCCTTGAAGGAACAGGGTTCTTCACCGTTTGTCCCCAGGTGGGTCCTAAGGACATCCGGTGAGGAGACCCCCGCCCCGCACGCAGTGTGCAAGCCTGCAGCCCGAGGTGAAGGGGGGTCCTGCCCTCCCCATGGGCCTGGGCGCGGCCCCCACAGCAGGCCCCCTGCTTGTAGAAGGATGTGCTCAGACCCCGCGTCGCCTGACACACGTGGGGAGCAGGCGGCCCCCCTGCTGCCTCCTCTCCCGCCCACGTTTAGGGCAGGCCGGTCTGCACTCCCGCTCACGCCATGTCTCCAAAACTAAAGGCACCAGAGCTGAGACCCACGGGGACTAGCACGTCGCCGTCCGGGGCTCGTGGCGTGCGTCATACGCGACCCTTAGCTCCCGGCGAGCCTGTGCGAGGCCGCGAAGCGGGGGGTCATCGGACCCGTGCCACCGAGAAGCAAACGGCAGTTGGAAGAGGTCTGGGAAGGCCTTGCTCAGGGGCTGCGTGCGTGGGCCCGTGCGTGCGTGGTGAGCGCGTTTCCTGGCTCCTCCGCCCAGGCCGCCCACGTGGCAGCCTCCCCCAGGGTCAGGACGGCCTTCCTGCCAGCTCTTCGCCCTGAATCGGCTGCGGCTCCTGACCCGGAGCCCGGGCCCGGCCCAGACAGCCCGGACGGAGACGCAGCCCCGCAGGGACAAAGATGGCCTCCAGCCGCCTTGCCTTGGTGCCCACAGAAGGGGGCTCTCCTCCTCCCCAGTCCTGGCCTCTCCTGGCGCTGGAAACATCCCAGAGAATGACAGCTGAGCAGAGACATGGCCTAACAGCTTCTGGGTCCCCCGCTCATGGCCCGCACGTGCTCTGTCTCTACCCTGTACTGCACAAGAACTCGCGTCCGGTCAGCCTGGTCTTCTACTAGTAAAGGGGGGGGCTCTTTTTACCCCCCGCTTCTCTCTGCCATATCCGACGAATGTTGGCAACTTCACCATTAAAAAAAAGTTGGGGGCAGTCGGGAGTGTTACTGACACACACTCCCTACAGTAAAATACAGATTAGCCAAAAAAAAGGAAAAAATTACAAGTAATCAGCATTTTCATGTGTCCTCACATCCCCTTTTTCTAGAAACATTTACATTATTTTTTTTAAGATTTTATTTATTTATTTGAGAGAGCGAGAATGAGAGAGAGTACATGAGAGGGGGGAGGGTCAGAGGGAGAAGCAAACCCCCCGCCGAGCAGGGAGCCCGATGCGGGACTCGATCCCGGGACTCCAGGATCATGACCTGAGCTGAAGGCAGTCGCCCAACCAACTGAGCCACCCAGGCGCCCTAGAAACATTTACATTATTTTATAGAAACATACCGATTTCTAACCCGTTTTAACTTCACAGTAGGTCATGCCTATCTTTTCATGTCAACGAATATCCTTCTACGCCATAGTTTCAATGACGTCACAGGATTGCACAGTAAGACTGTTTCATGCTTTAACCAAGCCCCAACCCCTGTTGTTCAGCATTTAGCTAGCTCCCAGTTTTTCACTAAATAAACCACTCTGTGATCATCTTTGCACATGTGTCTGATTAATTCCTGACTGGAGAAACAGAACCCTGCAGCAAGCCTATGTTCTCTTTTAGGTTTTTGACATTTTATAAAATCATCTTCCAAACACATTCCCCCGGCAGGTAGCAACACCTGTTTCCAGAGGGCCTGGCAGACAACACCCCCCTATTTCTGAAACTCTTGTCTCTGTCTGTATATGTCCCCTTTGCACAGGTAACTTCTAAATCGAGAGCCAGTTCCATGCTCTCCCCCAAAAACAGACCCCATTTCTAACCACCCACTATACACCTCTACTGACATCCTACAAACACTCCAAACTCAGCACATCCAAAGTCAGCTCATCTGCCCGTCATAGCCAAGTCCTCTCCTGACCTCGCACGTGGCCGAAGCGGCTGCCCTCCTGGTCCTGGCGCTGACATCTGTGGAGAGGTCAGTGGAGACAGGCCACGGAATCCTAGAGGATCTCCCCTGGGCCCCCCGCCATCACCTCCCTCCTGGCCATCCTCATTGCCACCACCCCAGCCAGGGCATGGAGCTTCTGCCCCAATCTCTGAACCCCCGCCAGGGACAGGGACAAGGCCAGCTCCCCATCTCCTGTCGCCCCAACCTGCACAAACAGGGCCCATGGCCTGCTGGTGATAAGCCACCCCTGTAACATGATCCTAACTCAGTTTTCATCTGTGGCCCCGGGTTTTCTCACCAAATCCACTCAGAGGAGACTCCGACTTCTGAGACTTCCCCTCACACCACCCTCTGCCTCACACTCCCTGCACCTTGCTGCCTGCTCCCCGCCACACCACTTGCACCCCCTCCATCTCCTCCCCTCACCCTCCCCTCCATCCGTCTGCCCACGACCTGACCAGGCTTTTCCTTCATCTCCGGCCCCTCCTGGCTTGGGGCTTACCTTATCCTGTTGGCCGTCTGCCTCCCGTGAAGCTCGCCTGCGCCCCTCTGCTCACCTGCCCTGTAGCTTGGGCAAGGCAGGGGAGACGTCCCACTCTTCCTTGGGTCTCCTCGAGGACCTGTTCCCTTGCACCGACTCTAACCAGAAAGATCTACCAAACGGATGCTGTCCTCGGGTCACTTGTTCTTGGTCCTCCTCCCCTTTATTAGATTCATCCCCTGAACGCCCGGGGCGCAGTCAGAACCTGATTAGCTCTGAATGAGAAAGAACAGAAGGGACGTGCTCCGCTGCTGGTGGACCTGCCACAGCTCCCTCCTGCCAAGCAGAGTGACCAACGACAGCAGTGGGAGCTCAGGGCAGCAAAGGAATTGTCACTCCTGGATCTCGGAGCTACTCCGTGGCCAGGCCAGCCAATATCCTACTGAAATAGGCAGAAATCAGAGTGAGGTTCTCTGCAGGGCTGTGAGGTTGTGACTTACAAGAAGAAGTATATAGGATGGAGCTCCCAAAACCCTTGGAATTTCCCAAGAAAGCCAGAAAGCTGTCTTTTGTTAATGAGCCCTTAGATAACCTGTGGGCGGGGGCTGGTTGCCAGGGGAACCAACCATGTGATTGACAGCTGGACCCCCTCCGTTCCACCTCTCAACCTCTAGGGAGGGGAGAGGGCCTGGAGATTTGAGTTCCATCACCAATGGCCAATGATCTGATCAAACCTGTCCCAGTCATGAAGCCTCCAGTAAAATCCAAAAGGAGCTTCCAGTAGGATGGCTACCCTAGTTCCCTGGGGATAGGAGCTCCTCCGTTCAGGACCCTTCGGGACCTCGCCCTAACGTTCCTCTTCCATCTGGCCGTTCCTGAGTCATATCCTTTTATAATAAATCTAGTAAGTAAAATGTTTCACTGAGTTCTGTGAGCTGCTCTAGCAAATTAATTGAACCCGAGGAGAAGGCCATGGGAACTTCTCATCCACAACAGGTGGGTCAGAAGCCCAGGGGCCAACCTGGAATTGCGACAGGCATCCGAAGTGAGGGACAGAGCCTTTAGCCTGTGGGTTTTGATGCCATCTCCAGGTAAACGGTGTCAGGACTGAGTTAACTTGCAGGACACCTAGTCGGTGTCCACTGAGAACTGAAGAAGTTGGTGGTGCTGAAAAGGAAACGCACTTTGGAGTAGCCAAACGACTGAACAGTGGGCTTGAATGTTCTGCACTGTAAATTCACATCCTGAATTCCCCAGGAAGTCAGAACCCTAGTGCTGTTTGCACCCCCACCACGATGGAGCTGAGAGGCCTGTGTGTGCTGGGAGGACCGGGGGCCTCACGGCCAACTGCAAGCCCCTCCTCTGTACTCAGCCTTCTCTCACTTAACCTCCAGGATACCGCTAGGATAATAAGACTGTTGTCCCAATTTAAACTGGTGAGGAAATTGGGGCTCAAAGAGGATACATGACATGCCCCAAACTATCAGCCGCAAGTAGCTCAATGCATCTGTTCACTGAGCACCTGCTGTAAGCTGGCGATACTGCGAGATGCTGGAGCTATACAGCTAAGACGCGATCCCTGCCTTCGAGAAGCTTGCAGACAAGTTGCAGAGCAGATGCGGATTTTTTTTTAGTAAACTCAGGCCTCCAAGGGCACTTGCCACCATCCACACGGAAGACAGTTTCCGCCTGCTTGAACACAGTGAGGTGGCGCCCCGAGCGGTTGGTTGTCGGGTGAAGGCGTGGCTCTGCCGAGCCTGGAGGGTGGAGCTGAAGGCAATCAAGGATCTGAATGCAGCTTGCCAAAGAAGTCACTTTGAACCAGAGCGCCAAGAAGTCTCTCCCTGTCCCACGCCAGCCCTCCTGTGTCCCTCGCCTCTCAGGAAACCAGGCTGCTGAGGCCGTTTAAGGCCATCACTGCATCAAGCACTGGTGTCCCCTGCGGGCTCTCCTGGGAGAAAAGGAGGCAGGATGGAAACAGGCAGTTAAGAGAGAAGGGGTGGCAGGAGGGCGAACCAGCGGATGCGTGAGATTTTCCCGTCAACTGCTCCCAAGGCAGCTCCCCTGCCCCATCTGTGTGGGGAACTAGGCATCTGGGTGAAGCAGCATCCAGGAAGAAGCCACAGATAAAGAATGACCTTTGGAACTACGAAGGCCCAAGCCGTCTCCTCCACTCCTCCTTCCAGTCTGAAGGCGATTTAAGCCCAACTACGAGGGAGGCAGGAAAACTCCCACCAAGCAAGACCATCCTGACGCAGGCAGGCCTGTGCCTTGCCTCCAGGTGACCTCATAGTCAATAAGCTCCAAGGGTGAAAAATCCAGATTCACAAAAAAGACAAAGTAGTGAGTGGTTCTGTGCTTTACAGAACATGAACTGAAAGATTCCTTCAACAACGGTTTTTATCCGGTTCAGCATCAAGGACAGCCTATCTTTGCGCAAGGAGGGCCTGCTTCCAACACTGGAGAGAGAACACATTTCATGGACTCTGGTTGGAATCTGACCCACCCGCAAACACATTTTGCATGTGCAAACCTGAAAATCAGTCAAGAGTCACTCCCTAGTAAGCAGATGCCTTTGAATCATGCTCCTTCAGTTCCCAACCCAGACAGTGACAACACTCTCTCTGCCTTCCCAGTCGGGTTGGCCCCCCTGAACGCCAGTGGTTCCTGGGCCTCCTTTGTTCCCGGAGCAGAAGGGTGGGTAGCAGCATCAGGGGCCTGGAAGCGGCCATTCTCCACTCCAAAGGTCTCCTCCGCCTCGCACACCAGAGTCTTAGAAGCAGAGGAGGCTCTTACAGCCCCTTCCACAGCCACCCTCCTTCCTGTCAGAGCACAGGATGGGGGTGACAATTCTGGCAGCTTCTGGAACTTTGGACTGAGACAGTCACACACCACCCCCACTCCCCCCCCCCCCCCACACACACTTGCAGTCAGACTCCACTTAATGCAATCTAATAGGGACAGGAGCTACCCGCAGGGCTTGAACGTGCTGAGAATCACTCTCCCTCCCCATGTCCACGGTTTCATTAAAAGGCCACCAGGCCTAATCTCATTATGGGGACCAGACACTGCCCCTGTCCTAGAGCCTGGAAGCAGGCAGCCTGGCGTGGCCACGGCCCTCCTTGTCCACAGCGGGGTTTTAAAATTGGGTTAGAGAAGATTATAGTGGGGACGGAGGTTCAAGCTTTTCTTGATGGGTGAGTGCCGGGAGGAAGGGACAACTCAATTGCCCTAGAATGTCCTAGAATGTGATGGAAGAAAAGGCAAAATGAAGGTTGAGCTGTCAGGCAGGGGTCCAAGAAGCCCGAGGGAAGAAAGCAAAGCTTGACGTCAGACACTGAGCCTGGTTCTCCATTAGACACAGCGGGCTTGGTGCCAGGGCTCCCAATACTTGTAGGGACCCACAAAAACTCTTCTGATTTCTGCTAAAATCAGGAGGAAAAACAAATTCAGTGTTGAAGAAAATGTTTTAATTTTTAATCCAGCCTGGATTATATTTGTCTTTATACCAACACAGTTGTAAAATATAGGTTTGTTTTGTTTTTTATTGTTATTATTTGTAATGGAAGAAGGGTCCCAGCAAGGCACAAGTGCCTGGGACCCATGACTGCAGCTCTGGTCAAACAGATGTGATTTTAGAGCAAGCCCCACTGTTTATGACTGTGTGCTCCTGGTCAAGCCAGGGCCCCTCTCTGAGCCTGCTTCCTCATCCACAAGATAGGGGATATTGAGTCCCACCTTACTACTCACTGGCCTAGCAAAAATTAAGCGGGATAAATATGTACTGGTGCCTAGCAAAGTGCCTGCCCCACGGTAGGCATTCAGATAACAATCTAATAAGAACTAAATCTGGTCCTAATAGCACCTTGGGAAGAGTCACACATCAGAAGTTGTTGACATAAGAGGTTTGGGGCCACAAAGAGCCAGAAGGCAGCAGACAGCACTACCCCCTCTCATAAATCCACACTCCTCTTCTGTCCACTCTCGGTCCCCGCCGGGCAGAAACCCCTGGATCTGGGGCAGATTCCTCCACCAATGCCTTCTGCTGCTGCTGCGCCTCTCCATATTGGCAGAAGCCAAGCTCTGCCAGCCAAGGAAAGGTGGCCAGGGCTGGGAAGCTGTGGGGCAGGAAGGGGATGGTCCCACTTCCCAGTCCGGGAGGCTCCTCCTGCGTGGTGCTGTGGCCAGGGTGGGGTGGGGTGGGGTAGGGTGGGGGTTTGCAGCACCCTTTCTCTATGTGGGTCTCACCTTGGCATTTACAAGTTTTCTTTCTGTATCTTCTGTCTCAAATCCAATGTCAATAGACAAATCAAGGTATCTAAGAGAAGGTGGCAAAGCTTTGGCATTTCTTCATTTGCTATGAAAACAAAGGAACAGAATCCAGCCGTCCTGAGATGGAGCTACATTTAATGAGACTTAGAAATTCCTCAAAGACTGCCAAGTAAGGGTGTATGAGAGGAAAGGGGCAACCTCAAGGAGAAAGGCTGGGGGTAGGGTCCACAGGGATCGCTTTCTGTGCGGCGCCCTGGGGGAAAGAGCAGGTGGAGAGGGGAGGTGGCCCTGCCATGACCCAGGCGTCAAAGGCAGCAGCGGACCCCTCCCTTGGCTCAGTTCTGTATCCCCTGTGCCCACAGCTCAGGGCCCACTAGGGCCAAGCCCACGAGCCAGGGTTTCCCGAACGAGGAACTCCTACCCTCACACCAGGAAGCTGCGGATGTTCCGGAACGAGGAAAGGCTCTCCTGGCCGGGTATGTTCCACCAAGAGGCCAGAGAGACAGGTTGAAGGAGGCCCCGCCACCAGCAAAGCAGTTCGGCCAGTCTTGGTTTCAGGTTTCAAAAGAACAGTCGTGGCAAAAGTTGGTTGAACCACATCTACCCTACCTTGTTTCTAGAATATGGCGTGAGCCCCTGGATGAACGTGAGGTCGCCTGGCGCTCCAGTCTCACTGCCGCAGACTGGCACGGAGGCTGACCCAGGGCCCGAGGCCGACAGCTCCCGCAGGGCGCACGGCCTGCTCTCTCACCCCTGGCCCTGCTGCGTGGGGCTCGGGGGCAGGTGAGGCGAGGGGCAGGTGTGGTGGCAGGTGAGGGGTTGGGGAAAGACGCGCGGCGGCTCGGGGCGGGGGGCGGGCCCGTTCCGCTGCGGGCGCACCTGGACCCCCGCCCCCGGCTCCGCGCGGGGGCTCGGCTCGCACCCACCCGCCCGGGCCGCCTACCTGGCCGGGCGCCGGGCCCGGAGCTCGTCCCCGCCGCGCAGCGCCGCCCCGCGCACCGGCCGGCGAGCCCCCCGCGCCGCGCCCAGGCTGCTCAGCCGGTTCCGCCGGCCTCGCCCCGCGCCCAGCTACGGCGTCGCCATGACGACGGGGCGGCGGCCGCGGGTGGGGCGCGAGGCGGGCGGCGCGGCGAGGGTCACGCGGGGGCAGGGAGCGCCGGAAGTGCCCCCCGCGCGTCCGGGCACTCGGGGCAGGGCCCGGCGCCCACTGGTGCCCGGCTCCCCGGACGGGGCCCCGCCGGATCCCGGGCCCAGACCTTGACGCCGCGCGACAGGGGCTGCGGCGCGGGGCGCTGAGGGGCGACAGCCGCGGCCACCGCGACCCCGGCCTTCTGGACCCGAGCTCGGGTAACCTTCGAAATCCGGGCCTCGCGACCCGGGGCGCGTTCAGGGACGCAAGAGGGTCTGCGACCCCGTGGGTGTGGGGGCCTCCTGCCCAGGCCTGACGCGGAGGCCGCGGGCGCTGCTGGGGGGATGCGCTGCGGGGCGGGGACCCGGGACGGGGACGGGGACGGAGCCCGGGCGCCGAGGGGAGGGGCTGCCCGCCCGGGGAGCAGCCGCCGGGCCTGGGCCTGGGCCTGGTCTCCGCGCTTCCTGAGTCCCTCCACGCCTTCCCCCTCCCCCGCTTCCCTCCTACCTTCTTACCCTTTCCCCTGGCCCCGCCTCGGGCTCAGGTGGCCACTAGGGGTCAGACACGGCCCGGGCCTGGGCCCACGCTGCAACTCCCGCAGCCCTGGGGACACATCCCCTCCCTCCTGGCCCGGAGGGAGATATCACTGGAGGGGAAGGCTGGACTCACCCCTTCCCCAGTACCACCTCCCCAACACACACACATACACACACACTAGGTGACTTCTTTTTTGCGCCCCTTTCTCAGGGGGCCTTGTCCGAGACTGACTACCCACCCCCCAGGCAAACCAGCCTAAGGATAAATACCAGTTCTCACCAGCCGCTCATGGAGGCCTAGACCTTGCCAGCGGCAGCCTCCCCTGTCCCAACAGCGGAGAGGAGGATGCCAAGGCCAAGGCTGGGGCCAGCCCCTACCGCAGCCCCCTATCCAGGAAATGCTGTGGGTAGATAACAAGTCCAGCTCAGACTTCTTACAAGCTCAGAACAAAAGGTTCTTTCCTGTCAGATGCCTGGCAAGGCTCACCAAGAGCCTGAGGGTAGGAGGGAAATGGGGTTTCCTCCCCTGGAGTTGTAAAACAGACACCCCTCCCCCAGGGTGTCGCTCCCCCTCCCCCTACCTCCCACACTGTGGGCTTCCCATGGGCAGTGGCCAAAGGCTCCTGAAGGACCCTGGCCAAGGGGGGCCTTGGGGATCTAATTCCCCCTTACAGAGAGAACATACTGTCAAGCCCATGGCAAGACACCCAAGGGTGCCCACTGCCCTGGGCACACCTAAAGGGGCAAACATAGCAGGGCCCACCCCTCAGAGTGACCAAGCTTAAACCTGCCACAGCATAAATTTGTTGGAGTAGCTTTCCAGTTGGAGGGAGTTAATGGACATTTTAAATTAAGAAACAGCTTCCTTAGCGTGCCAACAGGCAAACAGCAGGCAACAAATGCTCTGTGTGTTAAATGTGGAACTGAGCCATCTCCCATTGTTTGGCGTGTATATCTGGGCTTAGGGGAGGAGGACTGGAGTGGGCAGGGTGGCACAGCGGAGCAGAGCCTGCTGGGAACTCTGTGATTTGAGTGCTGAGCTTCCCAGTATAGGGCTTTCAACCCCTTCCAAAGCTGGGAGAGAGACGCCTGCTGAGGCATGATGGGGCCCCTTGGGTCCTTCTTCCCCCTGCCCCCATGGTCCTATGGCCCTGGGCAGCAGCATTTCCCTCTTAGAAGGGAAAGAATACCCTGCCAGCTTACAGTGGGGAGGGGATGGAGGTGGTGCTCTGATGGAGGTAAGGTGCCTCCCTGGGGATCAGGCACACTGGGACTTAGCTCGAAGGGCTCAGGGCTCCACTCAACCATTTTATTTTATTTTATTTTTTAAGATTTTATTTATTTATTTGACAGAGAGAGAGAGTACAAGCAGAGGGAGAGAGAGAGAAGCAGGCTTCCTGCTGAGCAAGGAGCCGGATGCGGGGCTCGATCTCTGGACCCTGGGATCATGACCTGAGCCGAAGGCAGACACTTAACGACTGAGCCACCCAGGCGCCCCACACTCAACCATTTTAAAGAGCAGGTGATCCCACTAAACTGCCATCAAGCACAAGAATCCCCACCCCAGGATGGCAGACACTCCCACTCTCTCCCCACTCCCTGCTGCTGAGACTCCTGCCACAGAAGCTAGAGAAGCTTCCACCCTACAGCTGGGGGCAGAGGTAGGAAAGAGCAAGCCAGTGGAGCAGCACCAAGGTGCCTTCTTGAGGACAGAGGTTGTGGTCCAGGGCATTTGCCATGCAATCCTCTCCCTTCTCGAATTCACAAAGCCACACTAGACTCACCACATTCACTCCTGCCTCTCCGTTGGAATGCCCTGATCATCACCTGGCTCATTCCTTCAGATCTCCACTTCTGAGACAGGCCTCCCTCATCATCCAGTCCAGTGGCTGGGGTCGAGGTTGAGATGGAGGGAGAGGCTTTGCATTAAGTGTGCTCATGACAGCTCTGGGAAACCACACTTGGCGCTCACCCTGTTCTTTGTCCAAAAGCATTTATTGAGAGGACAGGAAGAACCAAGAGGGTGAGCAGAATGTACCTCATGAGTAGGACCTCAGATCCCCCTGGGGAACCAGGCTGATCAGGGCTGCCCTTACTAGGGTTCCCAGATTGAGAAAGATGGATTCCCAGTTAAATTCGAATTTAGTATTTTTTTGGCATCAGCATGCTCCACTTATTAGGTGTAATATACTAAACATGTGTTCGTCATTTATTTGAAATTCAAATGTAGCTGGATATCCTGTATTTACCTGGCAAGCCTACCTTGCTCCTGTGGGGGAAGGACAGGAGAGGAGCCTCCTAGCCATTCTGGCCCCTCCCAGCAAAGCTTCCCCACCTCCAACAGGCTGAATTACCCAGTTAACTCCTGTTCAGAGTCAGGTCAAGGTGCATCCAAAGCACATTCCTGTTCTGCACGGGATGCAGGCAGAGGCCTTCACCTTGGGCTACAGAGAATGCAAAAGGCATAGGAGATGAGGTTCCCCAGGCCAAAGCTCTGTAAGACACACACACACGGCATTCATTCACGCTGTACAACAGTGACTGATCGCGTGCCAGGTGCTGGGCGACCCTGGGAAAATATCAGTGGACGTGACAGGCACAGCCCTGTTCTCTCAGGCCTCAGCTCATGGAAAGGCAACCCAGATGCAAGGGTCAGGGAAGGCTTCTGGAGCCTGTGATGTAGACTCAGAGAGCGACAGGACGGCAGGGGCTCACCTGGCAGAGGGACAGTAGGGAGAGGGCAGGAGTGTCCTGGCCAAAGAAACAGCTAGAGTGGCTAGTGTGCCACGCAGGAGATGGACACGGCCTGACCGTACAGCCTCGGGGCTCCTGGGCCACTGACAGCAGCGACAAGCCTGAACCGAAGCCGGCGCAGGCTCTGGGAGCTGGGCCTTGCCACGGGATGGCCGATCACGGACGGACACCTCCCCTGACCCGTCTACAGAGCGGGGCCCGCCTGCTGCTCGGGGCAGCCCCCTCAGGCCCGCTCCCTGAGGAGCTCGGTCCAACTTTCTCGAAAGGAAAATGAGTGTGATTCTGAAAGTACACGGCCACTTCGATGAGCTGAAGATGGGACTGGAATCACTCCGGGAGAAACACCTGTCTTTCTGCTTCAGGGGCAGCAGCCCCAGCAGGGGCAGCCAGAGCGACCAGTGGTCCAGTGAAGGCGTGGCAGGGACGCAGGGGGCTGGCCACGATGAAGACAGTCACCCGGGACCTCCCGAGTTCCAGGGCGTTGGGCTGAGGGATGTCACAGGCTGCGCGTCCCAGGCTGACCCCAAAGCTGGCCCAGTCTGGGAAGACAAGACTCAGACAAACAAGAGTAACCTGCTCACAAACCAATTTAACACTGTGGGACGGCTGGAGAAGCGAAGAGAATCAGCGTAGTCAGGCCAACCTTTCCCTCTGCCAGGCTCTGAGGGAACTGGACGTGGGTTAGATAAACAGTGAGGACCAGCCTGGAGCAAGAGGGGGCACGATGGCCCTGGGCACCCAAGGTAGGAGGCCATGAAAGGGGTGGGCTTTCCAACCTCCCAGGGTGTTTCCGTGCAGCCCCCTCGGGAGGGAGGGATCAGGAGGAAGTCTGTTTTCTCTGGCCCTTCCTTTCTTCTTTCCGTCCTCCCTCCCTTCTTTTCCTTTCTTTCAACAAAGGTTTATTGGGCACCAATTTGTGTCAGGTGCTGTCTGGGCCCTGGAGAAATACTAATCAATTAACAGAAGGTCCTGCTTTTATGTAACTTATATGAAGTGGGGGCGACAGATAAGTAAAAAGTAAACTAACAAACGACACATACACACACAGACGTGTACACCCACACACAGAAACCTAGTTGCGTGTACCAGCCAAGCGTTATGAAGAATTAATAAAGCAGGAGAAGGGCTGGAGTGTCACAGGAGGAAGGCTCTCTGAGGGGAGAGGGGTGCAGGCCCTGTGAAGATCTAGGGGAAGGTAAGTCCAGCAGAGGGAAGAGGGAGGGAGGGCAAAGGCCCTGAGGCAGGACTGTGCATTGTTGTCAACTCCATCCTGCCCTGCCCTCTAACACTCCCCTTCCCCCAACAGAGGACACGCTGTATACAGAAAGTGAAACAAGAATGCCAAGAGGTCCTCCGGGAGGGCAGAGGTTGAAAACGTGAGGTGTGTCACAGGGACTCAGCGGCGGTTCGTGGGGCGTCTGAGAAGTGTCCACAGGCCCATAGTTGTATCTGATTACTGAGCACGTCCTTCACACAATGGAGAATCTGGATGGAGGGTCACAGTTAGTAGGGCACCGCCAAGCTCCCCTTGTCCAGCATGGCCCAAGCAGGAGGCACTGGAGCCCAGCTCCGGGACCTCACTCCCCTGGGCCAGCTCTCCCCTCCAGGAAGAAAACTTGAAGAGGTTTGTATCCCAGTGGCGTCCTCCATCCCCACCTTCCTCTTTTCTCCTTGGGTAGATCAAGTCGGTCGGGCAGTCAACGAACATTGAAGACCTGCTCTGTGAGTGCTAGGGGCAATCACCATGGAGAGCGCGGGTGTGAGGCCTGGGGTGAAGGGTGGCCAGAGCCTTGGGTGTTGTCAGCAGGGGCATGGGGAGGGAGGGAAGATCCTGATAATGGGAGCCATCTAATTAACTCCACAAACCAGCTATAAATAGCAGGGCTAGGACTCTTGCACTTTGTCCAAAGCCTGTGACAGCTCTGTGTTCTCGTCTTGACCCTGAAAGCTGTGCCAACTCTAGCTCCACACCCTCTGGTTCCTGGGCAACCTTCTCGTGACGGGAGTGCAGCAAGGGTGTGGTGGCCACGCTGAGCCAAAAGTGAGGGGTGACCAAGCCATGGCCCAGAGGGTGCCCCCAGTGGGTGGGAGATGGGCAGAGGCTTAGGCAGCATTCCCCACGTGTGGCTTTACGGCATCCCTCTCCAAGTCAGACCTCAGCTGGGCCCAGAAGAGCAGAAAAAAAGGGGGGCACTTGTATAAGACACTGTCTCTGATGAGTGCACTAAGGCTGATGACTCTTCTAAGGTCCTAACAAGTTAGCAGCATAACTGTCCTGAGTCAGAGGTTTCACTTAACCCGGCTCCATCCCTCCCACCTCCATCCTTTACACTCTCTTGACCTTGGCCATCACCTCCTACCTTGAGTGCTCCTATCAGCCCAGCTGGTGCTTTTTGAGAGCAGATTAGATTTGAAGGCACCTTGACCTTAGCTCAGAATCTCCCTTACCCAAGAAGCCACGCTCCTTTGATCCCTCCCAGCTGATCAGTGGGAGACATTAACAAGTGGGCTGCAGCCAGGGAGAATTGCACCCCTCTCAGCTGGTCCCCCAGTTCAAATTGATCCTTGTCTCTCGCCTCATTGCGCCCTGTGAGCCAGTCATGCCTCCTGCTCTAGCACCGATCCGAGGGGCCTATTCTGGAGCAGGGGTGGGACTGGGGCCTCCTGGGCTGGCAGCAGCCCGTAGCTCAGGTCTCCTGGGTAGGCTTGCTTCAAAGTCTCACTCTAAAGCTCCAGGGCCCAAGAATGTTGCCCGAGGGCTGGCTCTTAGGTTCCAGAACCTAAGACTATATCTTTGGAAGGCAAAGATACTACTTGGAGGCTTTAATAAGTCATCCATCCCAACATCCCATTATTTCCTGTGAAGTGAAGCCCTTTACAGCTTGAAGGGCAATGTCACGTCCTGACATTGATGGGACTTTGAGCACTCTCATGTATCTTGAGTGTTTCTCCCCTTCCAAGGGCCTCTCCTCATTTGATAAATTCAGGCACCCCCAGGGCTTGTTTTGGCCAAAGGTTCAGTCCTGGCTTCCCTTCACCACAAAGTCAAGACCCAGCTGCGCCTGCCTGCACACAAGCAAATGTGGGGGCCCCATGGGAGTGAGCCCAGCTCCTGAGCTCTGTGGTGGCCCGGTGCTCTGTTTACCACCCCCATGGCATCCCCAGCGCTCAGGTGGCCAGGACACAAGCCGTCCCCGAGATGACCAGGCCACTGTGGAGCCTGGCCCCATGCAGGTTCCTCCGTGGAGAGGCTTCTCCCCAGAAGCCCTGGAGCTCACACCCTTCTTGCCTTCTGACCTCGGAGGAGGTCTGCTAAGATAGAAGGGCCTCAGCTCACATTCTTTCCTCCTCCTGGGCATGTTGGTCAACCCTCCTCGCTCTCAAGGGGGGTGACATGAGGTGGCCTCTGTCTCACTGCAGAAGTCCGCTGCCACCTTCCCCTCAGCCTGGGACATTCTGACAGCTGTTTAAAATGCCCTCTCAAGAGTACTCCCTAAAACAAACGACCGCGAAGTAACGAAGAATGTCATTCTCTTCCCTAGGAGTCCCTCCTCTGACCCACGTTTGATACCCTCAGGGAAAGGGTGGGGAGGCCAGGCAGGGTCAGGGTGCTGCCAGGGGCTGACAGCAGGGCTGGAGGCCCCTCAGGGGTCCTTGGTGCTCTTCCTTGGTGAGGACTTCACCAGGGCCCTGGGCATCGACAGGTGGGGGGTGGACCCCGAGATGAATTTGCCTCCTGTGCCCGGGGTCCCACGATGGAGGCTGTGTTAGAGCCAAGAGACAGGCGCCTCTCCTCCAGCCAGCGGGAGGCTGGCCGGACCCCCAGCCCCAGGCTCCCAGCGCCACGCCCCTCTGATGGCAGCTCCCCTCCCCGCTTCTCTGTGGGCCCCCCAGGTTTCTGCCTCTGCTGCCACCCTCGGCCTGGATTCACTCTCGTCCGCCTATTTCTCAGCTTCTCTCTCTGGGCTCTCTCCCTTCCCTCCCTCCCTGTCTTCCTGGCGAGCTTCGCGGGGCTGCCGGGAGGCGGGTGACACTCAGCAGCTCGGGTGTGCGCAGTCTCCCGGCCCCTCTCTGGGAACACTGCGCCAGCTACACACAGCCACAGGAAGGCCCCGTCGTGCTTTGGGGACAGTTAGACTCCTGAGCACCCCCCCCCCAGCCCCTGAGCTCCCCTCGGGGCCCCGCTGGGGCTGGGGAGGGGTCGCCCGGGAGCCGTGCCCTGGGCCCTCGGAGAGGAGCGCCTGCCCGCGGCAGCCAGCGAGGCCCGGGCCCCGCGACGGCCCCTCAGCAGCGCACGGCCGTGCCTGCTGCACGGGCGGGGCCCCGACTCCTTCCAGTCGGAGTCTCCGCCCAGCGGCCGGTACCTGCGCCGCCGCCGCCGCGCCAGGCCCCCGGCAGCGTGAGCGCGCCCGGCGCCCACCGGCCGAGGCCCGCGGGGAGACGCGCGCCCGCGCCCGCAGCGCTCCTCCCGGAATGCCCTGCGGAATGCCCGGCCTCGCTCTGGGGGAGAAAGGGCAGGCCAGGCCTGGGGGGACGACGGCTGGGGAGCAGGCAGCACGAGGAGGGGGGCGTTCGGGGCAGAAGGAGCGAGAGGGGCGGGAGGGAGCCCGGGCCCGAGAGCTCAGGGTCGGCCTGGCACTCCGGTGGGGCGGCTTCCGTAGACCCCTGAGTCATGAGCAGAAAGACGAGTCTGACTGAGTCGCAAACGCTTTTTAGTTTGCCAAGTAAAGACATTTACAAAAATCCGTTGTTTTCTCACACCACCATTTTATGAAAGAAGTAATATTTTAACTGCCAAAAAAAAAAAAAAATAGAAAGGATATTTGGGATAAAAGATAATGTGACCAAGAAAGGACAACTGGCCACTTGGCTGATATATGCTGATTGACTTTTTATATCTGACTGTTCTTGTTTTGCTCCCTTTCTTGCTGACTCTCGAACACTTTATCAAGGCCGGAGCCTCCAGCGATGGGTCTCCTCCTGGGAGCACTGATACAGGGACCTGCGGAGGGAGGGCCAGGACCGGGGATGTGAGGAGGCAGGGGCCACACCAGGGAGGACTTTGGACTTCACCCTGAGGAGTGCGGATTTTATCCCTGAGATGATGAGGGAAGCGTTTTGCCAACCCATGGTGTTTTCAGGTTCGTGCTTTAGGACAAGCATCCATTCCCAGGCTGCCCGTGAGAATGGCCCTCAGGGAGAGTGTCGGAGGGAGAGAGCAGAGGAGGGGCCCCTGAGAGAGGATGAGGGTCTGTAGGTGGGGGCAGTGGCCCTGGGACTGGGAGGGGGGCTGGGCACTGCCGGGAGCAGGTGGGGCGAGAGGAGCCGCCCAGAGCCAGGAAGAGAAAGGTGTCATGTCTGTCCAAGTTCACGCAGGGACTGCAGCAGAGGTCACCTCACCAGGGGCAAAACCGGGAGACGTGGGTTTGAGGTTTGGGATTAAAAATAAGAACTTCCTGACTCTAAAGAGGATGGCACTCAACGTACCCCGTGAAAGTAGACGGAGACAGTGAGCATCCTGGAGAGCAGGCGGGGACAGCGCAGTGGCTTACAGTGGGGGCATTTATCTGACTTTGCATTTGGGCTCCACCACTTGGGTGACCTTAGTCAACTTACTACCTTTTTGTGCCTTAGTTTCCTCATCTGTAAAATGGAAATCCAATAGTAGCTAACTCATAGGGTTGCTAGGAGATTGGAATGAATTAAGATATATAAAGCACTAAAAGAAAAGGATACATAAAGCACTTAGATGCTTGGCTCAATGGACATGGCCTGATATTATTGTACATTGTTGTATCTCCAGCACCCACACAGCACCCACAGCATTGGAGGGACCCTTAATGTTGGTGAAATGGATAAGGAGGTATGACCGGGACAAATGCCAGGCCTGGCTTTATGGAAGGACTAGGGTCTAGGACAGGACTTTGAATGCTCCTTGGTGGGCTTGGGGCGGGGGGGGGGGTACTCACACCTCCTGAAGGTTCTCTGGGATCCAGCAGCATCTCAAACAGGCAGAAGGCAGGCAGAGAAAAAGCACAAAGGATCCCGTGGAGGGCAAGTGGACCAGAGGACCCATAGCAGCTGTGGGAGTGAGAAGAGCTGGCTCTTCAGTCACCCACCTCCTCACACCAAAGGACCGTACCCTCCAACACTGAGTCTTCATCTCCTTTCCCTCCTACCCCTCAAACCTGCTTCTAGAATGTTCCTCTTCTAGGAACATATCTTTCAAAGCATTGTCACCCCCCTCAACTCCTCCACCCTTCTCCTCCAACCAGCCAGCCCCTGCCTCCTTTCGGTCCCACCTCCCTTGGCACACCCCCTCAATCTACCACTTCCCTCAGACTCTGCGGGACCCTAGCCCACTGTCTTTTCCCACCACCTCCAGGCCCTCTCAGTTTGTTCATCTCATCTTCATTGATGGCTCTAAGATACAAATGTAGTCAGGGCACTGCCCAGCCTGAAGCCTTCCTTAGGAGGAAGTCTGGCCGGCCACCTTGGCTTTGGCAGCCTCAGCCTCTGTTCACAGCCTAGTGCTGAGCCACATGAATTTCTGTTTCCTCTGCTTGAAATGTGTCTTCCAACAACTGGCCCAATCAGATCAATTCCTACCCCTTCTGTCAGGGCTCAGCCCAAGCAACACCCCTAGCAGGGGCTCAAGAACCCATCATGTCTTCAGGAATTGCTTGTTAAACATCCGGGTAGTCTGTGTTGGTGAGACCATCTCTGACTTAAGCACAGTGGTCTCAGGAGAAATGTGCAGAGGAACAAGTGAGAGAAAGAAAAGCAGGGAGACATTGTTAATGAAGACCAGGCAAAATTAGGTAATAGGACACAGGACAGCTATGAGTCAAAGATTACTCAGAGGTTCCTGGCTGGGAGGCAGAGATGGGTTATCACTGTCCACAACTATGGCAAAGCTGAGCTTCACCCTAGGCCCGGAGTGAAGAAACGCCCCTTCCCCTCTGCCTTGCTTCCTGGAAGCCAGGGGCCTGACACCCCAAAGGCAGAGGGTAATATAGAGACAGAGTCCAAGGATACTTAGTTGCCACAGGACATTGTCTATGGAATGCCAGCATTTTTTAAAAATAGTATCTTGCTTATCCAATTTGTGCTTGACATGAAGCTGTGGGGGGAGAGTTAAAAGGAGACTTGAAAGTTAAGAAAACTGGGGCGCCTGGGTGGCTCAGTCGTTAAGCGTCTGCCTTCGGCTCAGGTCACGATCCCAGGGTCCTGGGATCGAGCCCCGCATCGGGCTCCCTGCTCAGCGGGAAGCCTGCTTCTCCCTCTCCCACTCCCTCTGCTTGTGTTCCCTCTCTCGCTGAGTCTGTCAAATAAATAAAATCTTTAAAAAAAGAAAGAAAGAAAGTTAAGAAAACTTATTCAAAAGAGAGAAGTGCTGAGGCCAAGCCAAAGAGTGAATTCGACAGATATTCTGCATGAGACTGTAACAACGCACATAAACAAAGTGGTTTTCATCAGCTCCCAGGTTCCAGGTTCTGTGGGAACACTGGACCTGACGGGGCTGTCGGAACCGCCACCACCCTCTGCAGGTGCACCAACAGACTCGAGTTAACGGGATCAGCCCCCTCCTCACCCACCGGTGAGACCAGCCCTGAGGGTATACAGTTTACAAGGGATGCAGAAAATTTGCAGTCTGTTCACAAGAGGGTGATCAAGTGCAGAGAAATCTGGAAACCATCTCTTCCCGGGAATCACTGAAGGTGATAAATTTCTCCTGGAGCAAAGGAGACACAGATAGACCTGGAAGCTACCTACCTCTTGTGCTGGAGGGCCGTCGGGTCAAAGAGAGGAAAGACTCACTAGGTGTTTCTCTAGAGAACAGAGTGAAGAACAGCCAAGTAAAAACGACGAGGCAGGAGATGCAGTTAGCATAAGAAACAGTTTCTAACAACTAGAGCAGCCTAGCCCACCAAGGTAGTGAGCTTCCTGTCGCTGGAAATGTTCAAGTGGAGGCAGGGGGGTGTCAAGGCTACTGTAGGCATCACTGGTAAGAGTTCCCAACCATTTTTCTCCTCCCAAACATCCCAGTGTTAAGGAATCCCATGTTTTGAAATACTATATCTATTTCATAAGCTGTACTTATTCAAAGGAAAAAATATCCCATTTTAATAGTCAAACACCTGTCCTCTGTCAATCATCAGATGCTTAGGCAGGCTAAGCCCACTGACTAGAAGTGACTCAACCGTGGGGGGCTGGAAATGCTTCTAAGAAGAGGAGGTGTGCCTTTCGGCCAGAACCCTCTCTTCCAACAAGGTGCCAAAACGTCCGGCCCACAGGGAAAGAAGAGAGGCAGCACTGTATGTGCTCTATGCCTTGTAGAAAACACCGAGTCGCTCCTTTGGCCACATACGTGCGAATCTTCAAGAAAGGTGAAATTGTCGACATCAAGGGAATGGGCACTGTTCAAAAAGGACTGCCCCACAAATGTTACCATGGCAAAATTGGAAGAGGCTGCAGTGTTACCCAGCATGCTGTTGGCATTGTTGTAAACAAACAAGTTAAGGGCAAGTTTCTTGCCAAGAGAATTAACGTACGTACTGAGCATATTAAGCGCTCCAAGAGCCAAGATAGCTTCCTGAAACGTGGGAAGGAAAATGATGAGAAAAAGAAAGAAGCCAGAGGGAAAGTTACCTGGGTTCAACAGAAGCACCAACTTGCTCCGCCCCGAGGTGCACACTTGGGCAGAACAGGTGGACAGGAGCCTGAGCCTCTGGAACCTGTTGCCTAAGAATTTGTGGCTTTATAGGTGTAAAAATAAGTTAGTAAGTAAGTAAATAAGTAAATAAAAGACCTCTGGACTGTTTTTTTTTGTTTGTTTGTTTGTTTGTTTTTCCCAAAAGGAGCTTATGACAGAGCTGGGATTTAACTTGGGGTTCTGCAAGCCGACAGGGGGGTCCGAGGGGCAGGGAAAGACTCTGGTTGGGAAAAAAAAGTTCCAGAATAAACAACTTAAGTATACAGTGGGGCTGACATGAGGCTGGGGGCAGGAGGGTACAGATTCCAAGGGGCTGTCTATGCTCTGCTCCAGAGCCTGTCAGTTCAGTAGGGGCTTTGACCATGATCTCCAGGGGACAAGATCTACAGGGAGTGAAGAGGAGCCCAGCCCAAAAGGTAAAACCCAACTACCTTAAAAGTAAGACCCTCTGTGATTGAGATACCCCAAGGAAATGCAAACAAGTCACAAGCTGGGAATTCTATCTGCAGCACCTTGAAATGACAAGGGACTACTAGCCAGGATATTTGAAGAACTGTATGAATCAAGAAGAAAAAGAAAAGACGTGGGCAAGGGAAACATCAGGAACAGCCCGGAAGAAGCAGCACAAATGGCCCCTAGACACAGGAGAAGGTGTTCAACCTCATTAGCAGCAAGGGACCGAAAACACATCCTCCCCACAGAACTGGCACAAACTTAAAAATGCGACAAGAGTAAGTATTGGTGAAGATGGGGAGCAGCGTAGGAGTTCTCATCCTTTGCTGGCGGGAGTGCAAATCGGTATGAGTATTTTGTTTTGTTTTGTCTCTTATTTATTTTTATTTTAAGTAGGCTCCATGCCCAACGTGGGAACCCATGACCCTGAGATCAAGAGTCACACGTTTCACTGACCGAGCCAGCCAGGCGCCCCCAGTATAAGTATTTTAGAAAGCAGTTTGACATTTGGACACCCTTGAACTTTTGCATGTCTTTGAACATCTGCATACCCTTGACTCAGCGATTTTACTCCCAGTGTATTCTCCAGAGCAGTATTTCTCAATGAGGACCAGTTTTGCTTTTGTTTTACTTTCCAGTATGCTGGGGGAAACAGTCGTTTTGTAAATTACAATAAAAATGAATTTCTGAAAAATGAAGTGAAAAAAAACCCTACAATATACAAGCCCTGATATTTTATTATTCAATTCAACATATGGTTACTAATGTGTACCAAGGGGATGTGTACAAGCGTGTTACTGGCATATTGTTTTGTAACAGCAAAAAACAAGAGGTAACTCATGTGTCCAGTGATAGAATTAGAGACTGGGGAAATAAATCGTGGTGTCATCACGCTGGGTGATGGACTATCACAACTCTATGCAACAGCACCCATAAAGTCTCAGAATCATAACTGTGAGAGAAAAAACTAGCCTCAGAAGACTCTGCCTTTTTGAAGAAAGCTTTATCAGAGTGTAATTTGTGTATTTTTTCCTTTTTTTAAAGATTTATTTATTTATGTTAGAGAGCGCATGCGGTGGGGTGGAGACGCAGAGGGAGAGGGAGAGAGAGAATCTCCAGCAGACTCCCTGCTGAGCTTGTGTCAGAACTTCATTCCTCTTTAATGTCCAATAATATTCCATGATGTGGGTATACCATATGTTGCTCACTCATTCACAAGTTGATGGACATCTGGGTTGTTTGCACTTTTCGGCTGCTTTGAATAACACTGCATGCAAGTCTATGCACGACTATGTATTTTCATTTCTCTTGGGTACATTCCTAGGTGACAGTGTTTTTATAAAATTCTTAAACAAGCAAAGCTAAACAGTGTTATGTTTAGAAATATAAAGTACTGAAACTATTCTTTTTTTATAAGTTTTTTTATGTTTTTTTTTAAAAGATTTTATTTTTTTATCTGACAGATAGACAGCGAGAGAGGGAACACAAGCAGGGGGAGTGGGAGAGGGAGAAGCAGGCTTCCCGCTGAGCAGAGAGCCCAATGCGGGGCTCAGTCGCAGGACCCTGGGATCATGACCTGAGCCAAAGGCAGACGCTTAACGACGGAGCCACCCAGGTGCCCCATTACTGAAACTATTCTTTAAAAGTGAAGAGAGTCGGGGCACGTGGGGGGCCCAGTCACTTGAGCGACAGACTCTTGGTTTTGGCTCAGGTCATGATCTCAGGGTCCCGGGATCGAGTCCTTGTATCGGGCTCTGCGCTCAGTGCAGAGTCGGCTTGAGACTCTCTCTCCCTCTCCCTCTGTCCCTCCCGCTTGTGTGCTCTCCCTCTCTTTCTCTCTCAAATAAATAAATAAGTCTTTAAAAGTGAAGAGAGTAATAAACACAACATTCAGGGGGGCCAGTCGGGGGTGCATGTGGGAGCAGAAGATGGAAAAGGGAAAGATGGGTCTCAGCTAGATAAGAATAATGTGGCAGAGGGCATTTATGGTGTACATTTTATTGTGCTTCATAACATACATTACATTAGATATCATGTCTACATGCATATTTATATTGCTTATAATGTATATATATTATATAAAAAGAAGACATTTTTAAAAACGAAAGGCTATCTCCAGTACCCTCATCCCATTGGGTTCTCATCTCACGATAACCAGGCCCCCACTCCGGAGGACAAGATTACACACGCTCTGGCCACCTGTCCGCACTCAGCCTGTTCACAGCTCCCTGTGTACCAGCCACACCGGCCCTCTCTCTGGCTGGTTCTCGAAGGTGGGGCGCAGCTCCTGCAGGTCCACAAGAGCCCCTCCCCAGAGGTCCGCAAGCTTCTTCCCTGAAGCTCTGGGTGGGACAGCATGTCTGCTTGTCTTCCTCTCTGCACCCCAACCCCGGCCTCGTTTACTTTGCAACATAGCATTGTCATCCCCCTGCCACAGACACATGCACAGCGGGGCTCTGTTTTGCTCTCTGCCGAGACCCCAGCACGCAGAGGTGCCTGGCTGTAACAGGGTCTCGGTAAATACATACAGAGGGAAGTAAAGCAAGCCAAGCTTGTGATCAGATGGAGACT